AATAATAATAATAATAATAATAATTCAATGAGACTAATTAAAAATAATTTGCGTTCTGTTTTGACAAATGCTCATTTAGATAGCCTCATGATGGTTGGAATACATCGTGATAGGTGAAGCAACCTAGACCATGACAACGTGGTTGACAGATTTCATGTAAAATTTCCAAAATATAGAATTTCACTTTCAAGAATGAGGATTTGAAAATAAATTAGATGGTTACGTTGCATACACTTTGTTTCTTGCTTTATTCAAAATGTTTTGGTTTTGGAAGCTGATGTCAACATTAAAACATAGCCTACATGAAGTCATATTATAGTAACTCGATGCCTATCAAATACGTAATAAAAATTCGCCATAATCCATCAAATATCCGTGGATTCCTGGACCCCCACCGGGGGCCCTAGGCGGCCCCCAGCCAAGTGACACTCGATTCGCTCCACTAGCCCCCCCTCCCCGTCGGGGCCTTTAGCCCCTCCGTCGGGCAGGTCCTGGCGCCACCCCTGCCTTGCCGTTTTAACTTGCGGCCGTTTTGGTCTATTGCCGTTCTGGTCTAAAAGTGATGCCGTTTTGGTCATTGTCTTTTTGACTTATTAATTGCCGTTTTGGTTTTTTTGATGATGAGTGTCATGGTTTAGTTCAAAGAGTAGGCCCTATAAATTCTATAATACAGTATTTGTTTAGTAAAGTTATTTAATTTTAGTTATTTCGACCAAATACTGTAGGCCTAACAGTAGGCCCTACAGCAGAAAAAAATTGTTGGGAGCAGCTTATTTTAAGCATAACTCTTTAGAAATTTCGCGGGGGGGGGGGCCGGACCCTATCTATACATAGGCCTACAGTTACTAGTTGTCTAGATCGGCCCTTTCGCGCGTCCCCCACCCCCCCCCCCTCCATTTTCAGACGTTGGATCACACCTGACCACAACGAAGAAAAATCGTAACGAATGGGTTTGGTCTACAGGAGTTTGTGCTTAATACTTAATTTATAAATGCATAGGCAAAACAATGCCAAATATCATAATCAGAGCACTATGGTTTTTTTTAAATTTATTTATTTCCTGCATTGATTACAGAAATAACAAAACAAAAAACACTTTGATAATGATAAACCTACCTTAGACAAGTTATCTCTAACTTATGACGTTGTATTAGACGCTGTATCCCAGTGTAAAAACAATAAAAGTCCAGGTATTGATTCAATAACGAATGACATTATTAAAAATGGAGGGGATATTATGATAATATCAATGTATAATCTATTTAAAAGATTTTCTGACTTGGAAAAAATACCTGAAGAATGGAATGTAGGAACAATAATACCAATTTTCAAGAAAGGTGATCAAAGAGACCTGAACAATTATAGAGAGATCACATTAAATTCATACGTGTCTAAGGTTTATAATAGAATCATCTCCCAGACTGTGTCAAAATTTATTGAAGACTATGATCTTTTAACAGAGGTGCAAGGTGGTTTTAGAAAGAATAGACGTTGCAATGATCACATATTTGTGTTGAAAAGTATAATAGCTACCCGTCAAGCAGAAGGCAAAAAAACCCACCTGGCCTTCTTAGACTTCAAAAAAGCTTTTGACACAGTCTGGAGAGATGGACATGGACTTATATACTCAATCAAACATATTGTTATTAAGGGTAGCTTGTTAAATATTATCAAAGGTCTACTGATGTAAAATGTAAGGTATCATTCAATGACCTTGAATCTGAAAAATTCTTTGTTACTGAAGGTGTTAAGCAAGGTTGCTCTCTATCACCAGTCCTTTTTTTTCAATTTTTATAAACGAATTGAACAAAATCATTATAGAGAGAAATCTTGGCGTATGCATTTATGACGTAAAAATTGGTAGCCTTTTTTGGGCTGACGATGTGGTACTTGAAAATGATTTGAAAATGTTACTCAGAGCAGCAAGTGATTCCTCCGACAAATTTAAGTTGTGTTTTAACATTGATAAATCAAATGTCCTTATCACAGGACAAAGAGTAAACCAAATTAAAAAATGGAAACTTGGAAATGACTATATTTCAGAAACAAATTGCTATAAATATTTAGGAGTAACTATCTCTCGTTCATTGACCGACACGCACCACATTGACGAAGTATTTAAAAAAGGAAATAGAATCATTGCGTATATTAAATCTATCATTAATGAACAAGATAACTTCAATAGGATTTTCTATGGAAAATTATTATGGAATGCTATCGGATTGCCAACTATAAATTACGCGTGTTCGGTGTGGCTTTGCAACAGTAAAACCCATATGGAAAAATTAGAAAATTTACAATACCAGATGGCCAGAATACTTCTCAAACCCTGAAATGTGGCAAAAGAAGCCTTATATGGCAACCTAGGTTGGCAATCTATTCAGTCCATTCAGAACAACTTTAGGTTATCGTATTTTAATAGATTAAAATGCATGAATGAGGATAGATGGCCGAAACTATTGTTTAAAGCCATCTTACAAGTACAAGATACTATGAAATGGAAATGGCCATATACGATCAAAAGTATATTACAAAAATATAATCTATTGGATGTTTATATACAGAACCTGAGAATCGTAACTGGTTAAAGCTATTTAGAATTAAGAACAAAAAGAATGACGCTAAAGAATGGTATGAAAGGGCAAAATCAAAGTCATCCCTTAAAGAATATATAAAATACGAAGGAGTACCAGACTTCGAACATTATTTACCGGTACTTGATCAAACTAATTTTACTGATGTAAATCTAAAATTTAAGGAACAGTCTAATTCATTGGAACTCGGAGGTAGAAAACAATCATGGTCACATGAAAATACTGGCATATGCAAAATATGCAATGACGATAAAATAGAAACAGTCGACCACTTTATATTCGAATTTAATGGACTTCAAACAATCAGAGATAACCTATTTGAAGAAATAAAAAATGAATTGATTTACTGGGATCTCCAACAGTTTGGGATGACTTTGAAAAAGGCTCTATGGAATATAAACATCATTTGTTTTTAGACAGTTTAACAGAGATGAATATTGATTATTTAGACAAAATTTTTGATCATTACTGTAAAAAATACCTCATTACCGCTTGGACACTTAGAAAAAATATGTATACAATACAATGAAGTAACCCGGTTTGTACCCCCCTCTATAATGGATCAAACAACATGTTTCCTTTGAAACACATGTATGTTCCTCCTTTATTTACCTTATTTTTTTTCTCTTTTCTTTTTTCTTTTCTCAACTAATTATTAATTTGTAGTTTGTAATGTTAACAAAATTAAAACCAATAAAACTGATGGTAAATGCCAAAATGGTATCCCAAAATCCCATTTGATTTCATATTTCATGGTTACTCCTTGTACAATACATCTCACTTTGTGTTTGCTTGTAATTGATCTTTTAAATTAATATTACAGTATGATATTACTATTTTTATTATTATTATTATATTATTATTATTATTATTTTTATTATTATATTCATTTTCATTATTATTGATTTTATTATTTTTGTTGTCCTAGTTAATCTGTAATCGAGTTAGCTATGTATTTCTCTTCTCACCGATAGTTTTGTATTATTTTTGATTGTATTTTTCTCAACTTGTTGTAATTTGTATGTTTTATGGACGCACCACATTTTTGTGTGTGCCACTGTTTAAACAGCGAGAGCCAAATAAAACTGATCTATTTCCTCGTGTGTGGACCAAACTCCCTGCTGATGTGAGGAACTCAATAGTACTTAAAACTCTTACCAACTCTCTCATGGACATTCATAACTATTTTTCTGACCAAGATTTCTAAATTCTTCTTTTTACTCTTTTAATTATTGTATCTACACCGTTGAAATTTATTGAATTAATATACCATTAAGTTTATATGAACCTACTTTTTTTTTTTTCTTCATTAATACTAAACTTATCTGTAATAAGATAATTTCGGTAATTTTCTCATTATATAAATTATATATCAGTTATTACATACTAAGTAAGAGCAATTTTTTAATTTATTTTTTTATTTTTTTAAAATTATGATAGGCCTATTTCTGTTATTTATTGTATTGTATTTAAATGCCTTTTATGTTTATATTTATTAATGGGGCAGCTGACTCTCAATGAGTTATAGTAAAATTTTGCTTAAGCTGCCCCTGACCATAATTTTTGTTGTACTGTACCTTTTGTAAATGTGTATTGGTCGAATAAATAAATGAAATGAAATGAAATGAACTGAACTGAACTGACGCCATCATACGCTTTTCGATTCACGATTTTGATTGTGTGTTCGATCATGGGCATGCTCAAACAAGTTCTGTTGTTTTTGTAGCCAAGACCTCTTATTAGTAGAATCGTCGCTAGGTACTGTACATAAAGCTGGGTAATACTGGCGAGGGTAGGCCTCTAAATTAACAAAATGGAATGTGTTGATAATATTTTACTGGTGACCGACTCTTATAAGGTAAGCATGTATTAGGCCCTATACCTAGGCCCTAAGCCTAAAATAATTGAACGAATGCCATCGTTTCGGCCGCGAACCAGTGTGGCACCAGCAATGCACTTTACTCTGAGGGAAATTCCTACTGTCAACTGAATTCTCACTGGGAATTTCCCGTACTACAAGGCCTAGGCCTAGCTAGGCCAGGCCCAACAATATAGAATAGAACTTTAAGTCTACCTGGCACCTCCAGCAGATTCCCGCAAAATTACTTGTGCCTACATCGTCTATAATAATATTTTATGAAGATTTGGATGCATTTTAAGTAGACCACCAAACAAAGGGACCGGCCCTAGGCTCTGGCTTCTGTGTATACTCTGGCTTTTGTGTATACTGTATCTGACATGATATTTTCCTTTGCTAGTGAGTGTAGGCCTAGACACTTGTGAAATATAGTATTTTATTGGAATGATTTCGAACTTGTTAAAAAATTATTCTGACCAAGATTTTGACAATTAAACAAACTTATCCAAGGCCAACTTGATTGACCGCAGTGTACGAGATGAAAAAAAAAAAAAAAACTAATCTCATAGGAGAGGGCTAATTTATTGCACACAGTCGTATCTGAGCCTCAAACAGTTTAGTATCGGATTAATAATTCCTTTTATTTACCATTGTTAATTGTGGGATGAATTAAAATATCTTTTCATTAGAGTTCATGACTTTGGTGGACGAGATAAAAAATAAAGAATGCAGCAGGTTTGCGAAACAATCGCCCTGCCTACCTCGGACACTTGACTGTATAAAGTATACACAAAAAGCAGCTGGCAAGAGCATTCCTGCGGATGCGATCTACAACCTCTGAATTTACCTAGTAAGGAGGAAGTCGAAGAGAAAATAGTAATCTCCTATGAGAAATATGCCTAGACTTTAAATCTCATTTTGTTTTTCTCCTTTAGCTTAAAACTAAATTTCATGCCAATATTTATTTATGATTTATAATAATGAGAGTAATGCATGCAATTTGCTGAAATTTGCTTGGAATGGGGCTTTAAAAATAATTCATTTTGTGGGTGAAGTATGGATGGATTGATTGTTACTATGAATGAATGTTACTGCGTGTATAGATTGAATTAGGACAATAACATCCAAAACATTCATCAATTCAGATGCTAAAGAAAACTGGTACTTGCTGGCATCTAGCAAATTCCCCCAAATCTGTGCTTACATCATCTAAAATATTTGATTATTAATGCATTACTGTAATAGTAGAGCATCCCAAAGGTCCAACATTTTTGCAGGTAAAATAATTATTTATGGATAATATTAATTGTGAACTTATATAATGTAAATATCTCTATCTAATAGGTTACAACGTCTTCAGAACACTGCCGCATGTATTCTAACATTTATCAATAGACGATCACACATATTTCCTATTATTTATAATTTTCACTGGCTTCCTATTAATTCACGAATAAAGTATAAAATTCTACTACTAACTTTTAAAGCACGGCGACTCCAACAGTCCACCTACCTACTCAAACTTCTTCCTAAGTATGTCTCTTTATCCTCCCTCCGTTCTTCTTACCTTAATTTGCCCATTGTTCCAAGAGTTGACACCAAATCCTACGGCTACAGATCATTTTTATTTTCAGCTGCCACACTTTGGAACTCCCTCCCAAAACATTGTACTGACTCACCTTCAGTTGCTATTTTTAAGACAAAACTCAAAATTAAACTTTTTAAAATTTATAAATGTTAGCTTATTTTGTTATATATTTTGTTTGTATTTTCATCAGTTATGGTAAATAGATATCTTTTTTAATAACAATGCATACTTAACCACATACAGTACCAAATACACAACCATAGCCATTGTTGATCCCTAGTCACTCATACCATCAGTTAGAAGAATGGTCATGTGTGATATCAAATATTGTTACTTAATATACAGTATTGGAATTTGGAAAATCCAACTTCATGAAATGCAGCCTTCATAAACTTCCTGTGCTCAGTGATGCATGTAAACAGTGCTATCTTAGTATTTGTTGAATATTATTTTGAAAGTTGAATATTCATTAATATTAACAAAGAGTATAAATAGAACAAGAGAGCCAACAACGCTCATTGAGAGCGTAAAAAAACGATACGCTCTACGCAGCTAGTGTAGAACGCCAACTAACGCTTGTATGTGTTTTATTACCCAGTACTGCACCTGTCTCTTTTACCCAGTAATCCACCGCGCACGGTAGGTTTGTCTGTTTATCTGTTCTCCACAAGATACTGTACTTTTGTTTTCTGCTTACTGAGTTTATAGCGGGCGTACTTCTACCGCGCTGCGCAGTGCTGCACTGGGTAATAAAAAGAATATACAACCGTTAGTGGGCGTCCTACACAGGCATGACGTTTTTACGAACGGGACTTTGCTCTCTTGTTCTATTTATACTCTTTGATATTAAGATAACGCATCTAGGTGTGGAATATTAGTGTCAACTTGTGCTTCTAATATTCTTGGTTACAAGTTAAATTTTCTAATATTATAATACTGCACTGTAAACACTTTATAATAGAATTACTTACCACTGCTAATGTGATTGTGTTTGGTAAAGTACCTGTTCTTTTTTTTTTTTTTTTTTTTTTTTTTTTTTTTTTTTTTTTTTGGGAGAAAATTTAATAGTAAGGTTTGGAATAATCATATACATCCAACTATTATTATTTAATATTATTTAGATCAGTTGCAAAAAAGATGAAATTGAAATTAAATTGAAATTATAAGCAATAATTTATTTTATTTATTCTTATTTAATCAATTTAGAAATACTCAAAAGGTAGCACATAAGTTACAAAAGATCAGTATATATTAAATATGGAACCATGAAAATCAACAAGAAAATGATATACAATTCATAAAATTCTTAACAATTCCTCCTTAATTTACTGATTTTCATTTCTTTTCCATATGATCCACTAAGGGTGATCACTGTTTGGTCACTGAAAATGTTATCATGTTAAAGACAAAATAAATAAAAAATAAATAATAATTAATTAATTTCGGTGTATTCACTCCGAGTCAGATTTTTCAAATTGGAAAGCCTACCAAACTGGTAAGAAAATTGAGTCGGTATAGGGACACTCTCATTCAGTGCATCAGACACGCGGTCCAAATTTTAGTTAGAATCCGAAGTGAATGCAGCTTCAGAAAACATTATCTTTCCAGTTTGTGAGATGATAAGTAGCAAAGGACAATGTCTGCGAAAACTGCTTTTTCTGATACAGTTTTGTTAAACCCTGCACAGAAAATGTCAAATTTAATTTCCTTTCGGACAATATAGTTATCTGGTATATTGATAAGTATTATAAATATTTGAACATTTTTCTTGCAGGTAACCCATCACAAGCAGTATCCCGAAGGTACTACAAAGATATATTCCTATTTTGAAAGTCGAGGTGGAAAGTTCCAGGAGACTGTTTTCTTTGGGCTTCAGTATATTTTAAAGCGATGGTTGGAGGGTCGAGTGGTCACCAAAGAAAAAATCCAAGAAGCCAAAGAGTTTTACAAACTTCATTTTGGAAATGATGTCTTTAATGAGGAAGGCTGGAATTACATATTAGAGGTACTGTAGTAGGTAGTAGGTCCTATTTCTTGTAGTCTGATGTACAGTCAGCTCTCTCGCCAGGTACTTTTTAAAGAATGGTGGAATTTAAAAAAAAGTTGTCCTAAAAATGTAAAGGGTGGTGCGCAAAATTCCAAAGGGTGAATATATTCGTTGCCATTTTTGGTACATGTTTATGCTTTGACACAACTCGGCGTGGCTGACTGTATGTCCCACATTTTTTATTTAATTTACTCAATACCTTTACTTTAATTTAAATGAAAAAAATATCAAGTCAGTAGAATTTTTCCATGAACAAAATACTTCAAAATAAATAGTCGATTGGAACCCCACCCCACCTCCCCCTCCCAAAAAAAAAAAAAAAATTGATAGGCCTATCCTGTATGTTTTTAATATACGAGAGCTGGCAGGGGAAGATCTAGAGAAAAAGCAACGAGTGGGAATATATCATTTTCTTTTGTCTCTTCCCTTATCCATAAAACCATAAGCGATATTTTTTTACCAGAATTCAACGATAACTTAAAATAGTTAAGCCTAGCCTGGAAAACACACCAGTAGTACATAATTTAATTCCTAGGGCGTGCATGTTAATGATAATATTTCGCGATTGTAAGTCGCGACCTTGCTTGGGACGATCGGGACTAATACTATGCTAAAGCATCTATAATTTACCTCCATGTCTAAAGTGAACATGCTTCAATAACTTTTTTAAAATAAAGATGGTACCGTAGCATTGGCATTAATCACAAATATACTTCAAATATACTTTAAATGCCATGGTACAGTAAGTCGGCGTTACATACTGGCCTAAATATAAAATCAAATCTAGGTTATCTTTTTTATCCTTGAACACGGCTGGTTACTCATAATAAGTTTTACTGTACAGGTAGGTCTTCCAAATCGAGATATGTGTATTTACTTCACTAGTAAAATTTAGATAAAGACAATAATGTCATATTAGAAACAAATCAGCTTAATAGTTTTGAGTTATTATTTATTATTTAACTAATCAAACTGCGGTGTCTTCTTTCAACAAAAACTGCAGCGATCCCGAGCCTTGGGTGTAGATGGTGCGGAGATAAGGATATCTTTCACCGGGAAGGCAATGGTTTAGCCTTACATGTTTTTTTATGGAATTTCCAAGCAGAAATTTGACATAAAAATTCGCATGTAATTCACGTACATTCAATTAATAAACATTGTTTTATAAAATGTAAATATGATTTAGCTTTTAATAGTAAAATTTGATCTATTTTGATGATGGACAACATTTTCGGAGGCATCTACTTTAGCACGTAATCTCTTTCAACGGCAAGTAAAGTTCCCTACCTTAGCCATGGAAGTTAGCACAGGAGGGCGATTGCACTTTTTAAGACGATGGACTGCAACCACATTAGAAATTACTACAAAATTGGATTTTTTAAACGTTTATATTGATTCGTAAAATCACTGAATATTATGATAGTTTCGTTTATGGACGGTACTGAATGACATCCCACCCAGTTGACTATTTTTTAGAATCGACCAGGGACCTCCCTGAGTGTACCCACTACTTTTGTCAGTTCTTGCACGCACACAGGCAATGTACAAAGAGATTATGTTTCCTGCGGTTGGATTGGGTTGGGTTCCTTACACTTCAGTATGTGATTGAAGTATATAGAGCCATGGAAACATTGTGGAACTGCTTACAGTGCCACACATCGGTAGTTATCGAACGTTTTGAATAAAATTGACTGTACCTATTTTTTTTTTTAGCTTAGCGCTGATATTTTAAGCATGGTGCAGTCTTGATTATTTATGCCTAAGTGTGGCGATCCTGCCACACTCAAGTATCTGGCGAGACCACTGACAGTATTCTGTTTGTTTGCAAACTGGTTTAAACCTCAAGATACTATGTGTTGGGTCTGGTTTAGTTGGCACACAGGCCTGGAACCTAAACTTACTGTGTGTTGATCTGCTACACATGACTTATTGTTTGAGTAGCCAGCTTAAACCTAAATGTACTGGGTGGTCGTCTGCTACACATCAGTTACTGTTTGAGTAACCACGCACCAGCTTAAACCTAAATGTACTGTGTGTTGATCTGCTGCACATCACTTATTGTTTGAGTAACCACACACCTGCTTAAACCTAAGTGTACTCAGTGGCGTAACGACTATGTGATCTCATGCGGCAGTCCGCAGAGCCCCTGTGAAGGTGCATACTAGGTTTGGGGTTACCTCTTTTCTCTTTTTAAAGCCCTGTCTAGACTATCCAATTATATGTGCATACAACAGTTGAATTGAATAAAATTTGATATCTGGACAGATACTATACATATTACATAAGCGTTAGGCTGAGACAGAAGCTCATGTTAATCAAACTTGCTGGTGGATATTTGTGTATATCCCTTGGGAAAATGACGCTGCATGGACCAATTTTTCCAAAGTGGCATTAGAATATGTTTTCCAATTGTTATTTTTTATGTTTGGATTTTGTTCCATACTTTTCCAGAAACATGGAGGCTGTATTCCCATAAAGATAAGGGCAGTCCCAGAGGGCACAGTTGTTCCTGTCAAGAATGTTCTCTTTACAGTCGAAAGTACAGATCCTGAAGTGCCTTGGATAACTAACTATTTTGAAGTAAGGTTACATATTATTTAAAATTACATCTCATTCAATCATCTGTGTTTATCCAACATTTTAATTTATTTCCCCATGTTTATCATGATAATTATTTAATTCCTTTATGTTTTTATTTACTTATTTATTTTTTTTATTTATTCGGTATAAAAAAATCACATCAATCCGTTTATGTTTACATAAACATCAAACATTGAAAAAATTTCATATTACAGAATTACAAGAATATACAACTCACTAGCAGTACATTCAAAGTAGAAATAAAAATAAATATTTAACATTGTGTCATCAAATTGACATTCATTTATATTATTTACAATTCCAAATATTCAATTACTATTTAAAATTTAAGTGTCCTACATTTTCATTCATTTATCCATGTTCATCTTTCTGTATTAAAACAAACAAACAAACAGTATTGATTAAAAAAAAAACCAAAAAAAAACCCCTTATTTAATCTTGCTTATAGACACTGCTAGTACAAGTATGGTATCCGATGACAGTAGCTACAAACTCAAGGGCACAGAAGGAGGTGATTGCCAAAAACATGCTTGAAACAGCTGACACTCTCGATAAACTTCCATTCATGTTGCATGACTTCGGATTCCGTGGGGTAACCTCTGTTGAAGTAAGATTTTGTTTTTATTTTTTTAATGTTTGTATTTAAGACTTCAAATTGATTCTCATTGACGATTTTTAGTGTATAACTCAAATTTGTTTAATCAATCAGACTAGCATTGTCTGATTGATTAAATGTTTATCTTGAGTTGAAATTATTAACACTAAGCATTTTATCATATTAATGTAAGTAATAATGATAGTAAAAAAAAAAATGAAAAAATGTATATTGTATTAGTGTCCTTTCGGAAGATGACATGGTATACTTCAAATTAAAACAAAACAACACCAGAACAAAAGTATACATTGATTGTTAATTATTCTAATATGGAAAGTGGTACAAATGAGTTAAGTATCTTGTTGTTTTATAGGTTTGTGATTATAACATTTTACCTGATTGTAAACAAAAATAAAGAAATTTGTAATAAAGAGTTATTGTTTCATAGAAATAATTAGTGATTATTAGATTAAATTTGATTATGTCTGATCTTGTTTTAAAGGTCAAGACGTGAGGCCCTAGGCTCACAGGCCAGAGTACCCATCGCTGTTTCTTATGGCATTTGGTGGGGTGGGGACTCGCCACTTCTCCTGCACAGCAAGTCTGTTTTACTCCTGCAGCATATGTGGGTACCCATTTACACTCCTGGGTAGATTGAGACAAATATAGATAAAGTGTTTTGCCTAAGGACATAAGCAACTTCGACGTTATTTTAATATTTATATATTTTTTTGGTTTTAATCTTTATATATAGTGTTTGTTTTAATATCTATATTTTTTTGTTTTTGATTAAGTGACTGTATATCTTTTATTTTTGTGATATTAGAGTGCGGCGATTGGTGGTGCTGCACATTTAATAAATTTTGTTGGTTCAGACACCATTGCTGGTATGGTCATGTGCCGTAAATACTATGGATGTCAAATGGCAGGCTTCTCAATACCAGCAGCAGAGCATAGGTCAGTATTTTAATTTTATGCTTCAGTTGTCATTGCTCAGTATTTTATGCTATAGTAGTCATAGCTCAGTATTCTATGCTTCAGTAGTCATGGGTCAGTATTTTATGCTACATTAGTCATAAATCAGTATTTTATGCTACAGTAGTCGTAGGTCAGTATTTTATGCTTCAGTAGTCATAGGTCAGTATTTTATGCAACAATAGTCATAGGTCAGTATTTTATGCTTCAGTAGTCATAGGTCTCTATTTTATGCTACAGTAGTCATATTGTAGGTCAGTATTTTATGCTTTAGTAGTCATAGGTCAGTATTGTATACTACTGTAGTCATAGATCAGTATTTTATGCTACAGTAGTCATAAGTCACGTTCACATCTTTATCGATCAGGAGCGGTTGAGGCGCTAGGTCGTGAGCAAGATAGTGTTAGATAAAAAAATGGCCAAACTGCGTTCGCTGCCGCTTTCGAGGCAACCGGAAATAAATTTACGTCACATCCCCAATTGGTTGAAGACATGCTAGGCCTGCGATTTCTGATCCTAGGCCTGGATGGAGGTGGCATCGACGATCCTCCAACAGTCCCCACCTGACATTTTTGGGCGATTGCCGATGTTCCCAATTCTCTGGTAAACTGGCCAGTTTGGGCCCAAGATCCCTATTTATTCACCTTCTCAAGATAAAACTGTTTGTACTGTTTTCTTAGGTCCTGCAAATTTGTTTGAATTTGCCGTGCTGTCGTCGGTGAGTTGCCTGGCACAAACGAAAATCTAGCTGTGATTTTCTCGTGTATTGTTGTCTCATTTTTTCTTTGGATTTCTTGTCTTCCACTAACATTCTAATTTCGGATTCTGCCCAAATCTCTATCAAGTCACTAATTTCTTCCTTGGTCCAACAAGCTCAAAGGCCAGATCCAGCTGAAGTTGACATGGAGGATATTTAGGGATATTTAAAAAAAAAGTAACATACAACAGCCAAAACTGCAACGATGTTGAAAAAAGCGTTCTTAACTGCGAATATTCGTGCAAACAAGCTAACTACTTTGACCCCAGAGAGATTCTTGTATCTGATTGGCTTTCACACAAAAGAGGTCACAGCTCACTAACGACCCGCTTGCAAGCGGCTGTTCACATTGATTGAGAGTGAGCTGCATCGAGAGTCAATCGAGAGCGGCTTGTTTTGGCTCACCCATAACAGAAACTGCTCTTGAGCGGTTGTTCACATGAAGGCCCGGTTTGCGAGCTGATCGTCCGCTAGCGAGACATGTGAACGTGGTACTAGGTCAGTGTATTTTATGCTTCAGTAGTCAAAGCTCTGTATTTTATGCTTTAGTAGTCATAGGTCAGTGTATTTTATACTATAGTAGTCATAGCTCGGTATTTTATGCTACAGTATTCTTGTACAGCAATCAAAGGTCACTATTTTATGCCACTGTATTTCAATGTTTTTTCATTGAGGGGCAGTCCAATGGTAAGCAAGAGATTATTAGTGACATTAAGCTTACAGTATTTGTTAATTTTTTTTTTTTGAAAGCTCTTTATTTTGAGATATTAAATGAGAAGTACGAAGGGCATCATTAATTACAATATTTATCACAGTCCAAGTTTCATTGGTATAAAAACAAACAACAGCAGAATGACTTCAAAGAACTTGTATTTATATGATAGCACGGTAATCTCTTGTATTTACACATCCAATTCAGGTGAATCAAATGCTTCAAATCTTGTATGTACATAACATTGTGTTATCTGGTATATAAATGATACTGTACATCTATTAGTGGGTATCAAAGGTACTAATCATTTGTAAACAAGTTGAGCAAGAAATATGAATAATATCAGTGACAAAAATTGAAAATAAACTGTTGATACTGTAGCAACTGTGTGCGTGCTGAACCATAGAGATCCTTTCTTTGTTCCTTATTTTAACTTCATGGCTGCAGTTGCAGTAGCGAATTGTTAGAATAGATGTTTGTGCAGTTGGTCCTCTGTGTGCAAATTGGCCCAATTTTTAACCAAAACTCCATGCCCATAGCCATGGGGATTTGAGGATTTCGAAAGAACCCCCCTTTTTCCAGAAATGCCCATTTAAATGAAAATTAGAACCCCCCTTTTAAAATCCTGCCTGCGGGCTTGAAATTATCACTGAAATTAAGTCATCCATAAGGTATCCATGGTGTGTTTTACACCAAACAATCCAATGGGAATCATACTGAGCTATAGCCATTGGTCATAGAGTTAGGCATGCGTTGAGGCACACACGCTTGAAAATAATTTTACTACAATAATATTCTCCACAGTACTATTACATCATGGGGAAAAAGTGGTGAAAAGAAAGCATTTGCGAACATGCTGAATAGTTTTCCAAATGGTCTTGTTGCAGTAGTGTCCGATAGTTATGACATCTTTAATGCTTGTGAAAATATCTGGGGAAAGGAACTTAAAGATTTGATTTTGAAACGAGGCGAAAATGGTGGACAACTTGTCATTAGGCCAGACTCAGGGGACCCACCAGATGTTGTGGTTAAGGTACTGGTCACTCTTTGTTTTCATGCAGTTTTTGAATTCTGTTAGTCTACAATTAGTTTTTGACTATGTGGGTAAATAATATAATTATTATTTTCTGAAATGTAATGTAAGTTATATTAATGCAAATGTTGTTGCTAAACTATCCAATCAGCCATGTTTGTTTTGTTCACGTGGATAACTTTGCAAATTAATCCACTCTGGTTTACATTAATTTCCATTGTGGTCAACGAAGTCTATTTTATGAGCCAGCCGAATTGAAAATAATACTCAACGAGAAATCGTTGTCAACGAAATGAACCAGTCGTATACACCATAGAGTATTAGTAAGTAATTTATTTTCCAAGCAAATGTAAATTTATGAATCAAAACTTGTTATAGGTTCTTGAAATTTTGGGAAAGGCCTTTGGGACGAAAGTGAACAGCAAAAGCTACAAATTATTACCAGACTGCATCCGAGTAATACAAGGAGATGGAATTAATTATGAAATGTTGGGAAAGGTCTTAGAGCACATGAAGAACCACAAATGGAGTGCAGACAACATTGTTTTTGGAAGTGGTGGTGCTCTCTTACAAAAGTTGAATCGAGACACCCAGAAATGTGCATATAAATGCAGTTATGCAGAGGTTGATGGTACACCGGTAAGTGGAGATAAAGAGCACTGTTCAGTAACATCTTCCATGTCTTTGGACTAGTTTTTGTTTAAAACAACTATTTACAGTACCGAACACGGGCATTGCACTTTGTCAGACGCAGATTGAAGGCGGTGGATGCGGACAGAATCAAAATCTTGACCGCGGACTGGCTTTGCCCGTGCAAGTACTGTGCGTAAGTTAAAACAACAGTGTCCATTTATTGTTTCCCATACTTTCTTTCAGTAATGAATATAATAATATGAATAAATAAAATCAAAGCCAATTAAATTCTAATAAATTGTAATTTATGCTGGGCTGACTTTTTTGTTTATAATAAAGTCAATTTTTTTAGCCAATTTAATCGGTCTTTAGCCAAAATTTGACGAAAATTGTTAAAAATCATTAGCCAAAACTTGCTGACCGGACATGGGTCCAACATGTTTGACAGTGGAGTCCGAACCAAGGGACCGACTAGAGTTGTGCCAGGGCGGATCCAGAAATGTACAAGGGGGTGGGGATGGTGTGGTGATCGAGACAACACTACTCTAGGGGGTCCCTAGAGTATTAAAAAAAATTTTTTTTTTACAAGTAAAGGGTGCGGGTGGTTTCCCCCTAAATACACCCCTGCCTCGATGAGGGTACCAGAAAAAAATCTCTGGTAGGTTGGGGGGGGAGTTGGGGGGGGGGGGGGGGGGATGGTGGGGGAGAGATTGGTAACGTTATTTGATAGGCAAATTAATATTTTTAGCACACCAATGAGGTACTTTGAAAGTTTGCTGAATATATAGGCCTATCACACAAGTTGAAAAAATTGCATAGGCATAGGCCTATACAGTATTTTTTTAATGTACTAGACTACAGTATATTCAAAATTGGCTTGGGGCCTGATCATCCACACCAGCAGTCTGTCACACAAAGTTTTCAGCGATAATGAAGAACATACACGATTTAGGTTCTAGGCTAGACTAGCCTTGCTTGCGTGATTAAACCGTGTAACAGTTACAAAGCAACACACGCGGAGCATTCTTAAATTATTACACATATTATTTAAATGTATTTTAGGTATTAGACGATAACACAAAATCACTGATTAAATTCTTATTTACAATACTTAAGATATGCCCTGTCTCTTTCTACCAACATCACAGCGTATCGGCCCTCATGTTTTAGTTGAAAAAACCCAAGCCAGTGGTACCTTCATATTAGTCTATGTCATACAGCCACTGCCCTGCATCTACCGCGTTAAAATAACAATTACAAATTAAAAAAAACTTGCAAGGCACGCAATGACGTTTGCAGCAAGACTACACATACAACAACACAAATAAGCGTTGCATGGAGTTAGCGAATAATGGAGCTCAAATGAAAAATATGATGTATTTAGCAAGCATTTAAAACTGTTTTTTATTTTAGGCCTTCACCAAAATAGCTAAATCAGTTTATTTTTTTTTTTCGCAAATCCAAATTATTTTTCACCTATGGCGATGTGGCGATCAGTTGGCGCGAGCCCAGTTATGAGTATATTGGTCTGTTTCTAATTGCTTTTTATTCTGTCATTATTTACACCTGTAATAATTACCCACTGTTTACATAGCATTGCTTCTTTTCTAACTCAGTCTTTTCTGGGTCATGTAAGCACCTACATCCGTGGTGCTGTAGTGGCCAATCCCATGTAAATGTATCTGATTGTTTTGACGAACAAAAGATCAATTGGCATCCATTTTGAATGCTTATTGGTAGGTTTTAGTAAATGATGGTTGCTATAACAACATTAAAGTTCTATACCTATGTACTATGTCGCATTGAACAAGGACTTGTGTTTCTTCAAGTTAATTCACTCAAAATAACCTAAGAGGACCTTCCATTTCATTAATATTTTTTTAACCTTATAGAATTTGATAGGTTGAACTAAGTTTAATTATTTGTCATAATCAGTTTTGACAAGCCATTGACTGTCTTCTATTTTATATTTCTGTGGCTTTTCCAATTATTTTAGCACATTGAATTTGGATTTCTTTATATTTATGTTCATAGCGTAATGTGTTCAAACAACCTGTCACTGATCCTGGGAAGAAATCCAAGAAGGGAATCCTGTCGTTAGTTCAGCAAAATGGTAAACTTGAAACATTCCAAGAAGGTACTGGTGTAGATGAAGTAAGTTACATTTTTTTTACTTCATTGCTGAGGAGTATGAAACTGATCCTTGAGTAATAATTATAATAATGGTAGACTTATATAGCGCATATTGTTAAGAAATCTGTGCACTTCAAATTATCATTGATGAAGTTCCTAGTCCACATATCAAATGCCCTGAGCATCTTATGTTAGATGGATATGGAGCTATGTAAAAGTACACTATTATTACCCCGGTCATTGGATTAAACTCCTATGGAACACAAACTCAATCTGGGGGAGTATTCTGTAATGTTGCAGCAGCTACATCAGTGCATTTTGGCATTTAACCCTACCAGGTACCCACTTATAGACCTACTCTTGAGTGGAGAGAAACAATGCAGATAAAGTGCCTTGCCCAAGGACACAAGTGAAATGCACAGTGAGGGATTGAAATACCGACCTCGAGGTTAGGAAACCAAACCGTTCCCACTGCGCCAAACCACTTCCAGTAACCACAACTCCAGCTTCTGAACAATTTAAAATAATCTTTGAGTAAACTTATCTGAGCAGTTTCAATGCCATCGTTCAGTGAGTTTAAATAATTGCAAACATTGTAAATATTGCAGTCATTAACTCAATAAGATCAATTGAATTGCAGTGGTTTAACTTGTGTGCATGTGAATGATAAATTGATGCTGCTAAGTCCTATGATTTGTTTATGCTCTTGTGGACTCTTGCAGGAATTCTACCTGCTGATTGGTTGGCTGGTGTGATAAGGGGGATTTTGCCCAGTGATTAATTTTGTGTTGGTTTTTCTTTAGAAAATTGAAATTACTTCCTTTTTGTTGTGCTGATTACAAAGTAATTAGTTTGATTTTTCTTTTCTTTTTTTTTTTTGGCTTGTGTAGGATGATTACTTTTGTTATTTTCTTATGTCATGGCAGGGCATGGTAATGGAAGATATTTTGAGCATTTCTAGGAAATTCTTTACTTAGTTATATACTATTTTCATAGAATGTGGTCCATTCAGTTTTTAGTCCACTGCTCTTTTGTGTGTAGTAACAATACCTTGTGATATATCAGCATTTGTTTTTAATTTCATTATCATCTTCATATTTTTTTACAGGATATTATGGTACCAGTGTTTGAGAATGGTTATTTGTTGAAGGACTATAATTTTGCTGAAATTAGAAAACGAGCAGAGCTACCAATAGTGAAAAAAACAACCAATGGTTTTTAATAAACCAACTTGAAACTTAAATTTGTAAAAATGGATTGTAATATTATATTCAGTAATAATTTTTTTTTAATTAAGAAGATATACATATTGTTTATATCATAAGCATCTGTTTTTGGGTACCCTTTATACTGTATATAAGAATCTTATTGGTGTGTTTTTACTGAAAATCGAGATACAAATCGGTTGATTATCGGATACCAAGATAAGAAGGGCACCACAACTGCATTTTGACATGTAGTGGCAACATATTTGATACCGGGCTGATACTGCACATAAAATTTACCCAGAATACAATTAAAAATGACAGAAGTTTTTAACAGTAATTTTTTTGCCAGACAACCTTGATACAAAAAACAATGGTGATTCCTCCTATTCTAAGACATGTAAGAGGCCTAAAATTATTGAGATGAGAATTATTTTACCAAGTCTTAATAAAAATGGGCTAACCATGATGTTTGCTTTACTAAGACAGAACTTGCTTTTAAAAAGAACAATAAATCCAATAACCAATGTGGAGCATTGAAATAGTACCAAATATTAAAGTAATAAATTGTTCTTTAAGTACTGGTAATTCTGATTGTATTGAAATTTTAATAATGTATTCTACTGTAGAGAAAAAGAAAAAGTAATAATTGTAGGTAAATTTGGATCATCCACTGTGTAAGCATACACTTCCAGTTAATTTAGGTCTGTGAAGGGAAAGATTTCTGAATCATATTTTCAGACTTAAAAAAGATGTAATACATAATTCTACATTCAAAATGCTATTATTTTTAACAGGGTGTAGACAAAGTAAATTTAGAAATTTAATATAATAATAATAATAATAAAAATAATGTTACATTTCTATAGCGCATAATGCAAAAAGCTTCTATTTAAAAAAATGAAGTAGAACATAAAACTGGCTCAACAAAAATGCAAAATCTTCAAGGGGGTCACCATCCGACTCCACTCTAGCGTAATCCCAGACCCCTACCTAGGTGACTCAAGTAAAGGAACAGGATACACATTTGCCTGCCACAGACGACCAGGTACTTGGAAATGGTGACCAAGAAATGGGGGAGTAAACGGAAAAAATCGTTGGGAAGCTCATAGGCCACCGATGTTTAGGGATATATTTTTAAGTGTACTGATAATTATTGTTGGAAAGCTTGTGCAAGTTCAACTATTAGCATTCAGTTGTACATATGTAAAGCCGCAGTGATAATCCAGAGGTTTTCTATTATGTTAAACAAAAGGCATGTGTTGAGTGTATTTTCTTAAATATGATTATAACCAGTACAGCATATATCTTGTCATTTGATAGATGGCATGAGGTGTATCCCTTTAAATATTATAATTATGCAGTTTCAACCTTGAGAAAGAGTGATGATAGTTTAGTTCCCATGATACTACTTCAAAATATGAAATTTATAATCACACAAATTACTGCATGTAAATACAACAATTGACAATAAAGGAGAGTAAAGAAATATTATGTAGTAAAATATAAATAAATTTACCACACATATTGCTCATATCCAGATAATTGTTCCAATGACGATAATGAGCAATTTTTGTAATGAAGGACAAAATTAAGACTTTGATGTATTTCGAACTATACAATATATTATTTTATCTAAAAGTAAAAATTTCATTTTTTATTTATACATTTAAACTATGGAAACTTGAAATTGATTTGTATTTATAATGAGAAGAATTGAACATATTAATTGTAGTTTATCTACTTCTTGCAATTGACTAGTTAAAACATGTTAACATTTCTTTAACACATTGGCTGCCAGCGATAAGTATACTCGTCCCATAGGATGTTGCTGAGGGCGCCAGGGATGAGTATACTCGTCAAAATTGGGGTAACATTCTAGCATTTCAATTACTTCTTTGTTATACATTATAGAACCACAGACTCGATAACTCGCACTTGGCATAGTCAATAAAAAGTGACTTTGATGAGTTTACTTGTCAAAATTGGGGTAACATTCTAGCATTTTAATTACTTCTTTGTTATACATTATAGAACCACAGACTCGATAACTCGCACTTGGCATAGTCAATAAAAAGTGACTTTGATGAGTATACTCGTCAAAATTGGGGTAACATTCTAGCATTTCAATTACTTCTTTGTTATACATTATAGAACCACAGACTCGATAACTCGCACTTGGCATAGTCAATAAAAAGTGACTTCGATGAGTTTACTCGTCAAAATTGGGGTAACATTCTAGCATTTCAATTACTTCTTTGTTATACATTATAGAACCACAGACTCGATAACTCGCACTTGGCATAGTCAATAAAAAGTGACTTTGATGAGTTTACTCGTCCCCTAATATTTTCCCGCCAATTTCTTAAACACATCATTTTGATGATATATGCCTAGATAAAATTTCAAAAAGTATGTTCGTACATATAAACTTGTTTTGGCACATGGAAAGGAACCTTAAAAAAATGTCTGGCAGTCAAGGTGTTAAAATGTTATAGAGAACAATATTAGTTTGATATTTTTGTTGTATCAGAGGCCTAAAATAAGCTAGGAGCTGGCGATTGCAGCGGTTCCACATGCTATTCTGTAAGACTAAATTAGGCACTGGCCATTGCAGGTGTACCACATGCTATCTGCAAGACTAAGCTGTGTGCTGGCCATTGCAGGAATACTACATGCTATTCTGTAAGACTAAACTCTGCGCTGGCCATTGCAGATGTACCGCATGCTATTCTCTAAGACTAAACTATGCTCTGGCCATTGCAGGAATACCACATGCTATTCTGTGACGCTAAGCTAGGTGCTGGCCATTGCAAAAGTACCACATGCTATTCTGTTAGACTAAGCTAGGTGCTGGCCATTGCAGGGGTACCACATGCTATTCTGTTAGACTAAGCTAGGCGCTGGCAATTGTGGGGGTACCACATGCTATTCTGTAAGACTAAGCTAGGTGCTGGCCATTGCAGAAGTACCGCATGTGACATTTTAAAATGTGTTTTAGTTTGTCAGTTTTATGTAATAGTTGGTAATAAAGGTTTACTTTCGTGAAAATTTGATTTTTTTTTTTTTTTTTTTAATTTTAAATTTTAGCTTTCTGTGAGCATTAGTATTATGGAAAACTTCCTATGGAGGAGCGAACCATTGATAGGCCTTTTTCACGCTGCGGTAGACATCTTCGATCGATGACAAACAATGCTGAGCAGTGAAGCGTAACCAACAGAAATAACACAGCGTTTTGGCCATATCTTCGGAGGTCATGTTTCAAAAAATTGTATATCCTTAACGGAGGGTCGTGTCAACATATTTTTTTCTTTAAAATGTTCGCAAAGGATATATCTACGTACTGTATGAATAAAAAAAAAATGAAAATTTGTTTACTCTCAAAACTTAACTGGAAAATAGAAAATAGATTTTGTACAGTGCATGTTGCTATTATTTCAATTAAGTTTTGACAGACTAAACAAATTTTAGTTTTTTTGTTACTCATACAGTACTTAGATATATTCTTTAAAGAAAAAATTATGCTGATATGACCCTCCGTTAAGGAGTTATGATTCTTTAAGTAACATGACCTCTGAAAATATGGCAGGCATGCTAAATGATTCGGTCGAACAGTGAAAATAGGCAATGTGTGTGTTAACGCTACACAAAATCGCTACACTACACTACAGCCTTAACATCGGCGCTAGTTCTAGCCCAGGGGTGGCTCTAGCGGGGGGTCCAGGGGGAAAAGGATCCCCGTCTGGGACCTCTGAACCCGGTTTGGACCCCATGTCGGGGAATTTCTAGCAAGATCGTCGGGGAAAAATGATATCTCGACCACCGAAAGTACAATTTAGGTATGCCTGACTAAACTGTCAAATTTTAGGGATTAAAAACTGTTTTGTGTGAGCAGTGCTACCGTATGTGTGAGGTGTTGTATACTATCGCGATTGTATGGGTTGTGGTGGTAGCGGCAGATCTTCCCCAACAGGGGTGGGGGGGGCTGGTCCCTCTGACTGGTTGATAGTACCCCTGAGAGGCGGCATCATCTCAGTCAACACAGTTTGTCCCCAACGGGGGGTGGGGGGGCGGGGAGGAGTGATGTCGGATGTGGTCCCCCCCCCCCCCCCCGGGGGAGGTAGGGAAATTCTTGTCACCATCATAATAATTCAATAATTCTGGATTTATATAGCGCATCGCGTTGACACAACCCCCTGTTCCAGTTGCTCCTCAGATAAGGACTTAAAATGGAGGTCCAGTGTATACATGTGGCTGGTGTGCATTTTAAGGAACCCATTACATCTTTCGGAAGAGTAGGAGGTTACCCGATGTTCCGGTTCATTTCAGCCCATCGTGTTGGCATGATGTAAACATGTATCTACCATGAAGCGCCTATTTACGGCTGCTAGGGTGGTCACAGACCACGTCCATACACAATTTAGCACAATGGACGCTGCTAGTTATAGGTTATTCTCCTACCTTTAGCTTTTACCTTTAGGATGGCTTGTATACAGTAGTCTTCTGATTCCTATGTTCTGCGAACTCTTGATTGGCCCATCAGCATGGCTTGTATACTCTGTTGCCTAATAATGTCATACTTATGTGGCTATTGTTCATCATAGCATGTTAATTTTGGAGACTTGTTTGCATGATGCACTGTATAGAACTGGAATGATATACTGTAAATACTCCAGGCCCTTGCTCCCCTCCTTTTTTCCTCTTGTGTACCTTAAATTTTACAAATACAGGTCTCCCTCTAATTAAAGACCACTTTCCTGTGGTCTCAAATTAACAAATGTCTTATCTTATTATTCTAAGTAGACCAAAGCTACTAAGGACCTAGTCAGGAAGGGGAAGGATGGGGGTTGCAGGTCAAAGTATGTTTAGTACTCTCTTGAAAATGAGTAACAGCCAATGTTAGTATACAATCATTAGTTATGATCCCCCAAATTTAAAATATGACCAATATTATAAACCATAGTGATGATAGTTTGTAGGTCTATATTGGTAAACATGATGTGATGTTAACCATACAGCTCAGTCATTCCTCTGTTCAACACTTAATTGTACATCACCTTTTATTTATTAAATGCTGAGTAGAGTGGGCAGATGCAGCACTCTTGTAGTTCCAGTTGCTGAACATCCTACAGTATTTTTCAAATAAATAAAGTTAACATTTATTGTATATAGTAACTATTCATTTATTAAGTGAATTGTCAAATAATTTATCTCACTTTTAGCTGTAAAGTGCATAGAGGTCTTAATATTATGCAGTATATTAATTCAAAATTATTATTATTATTATTTATTGATTATTTTGTGTCCCTGTTTTGTGATACTTTGCATTTTTGTACACTGTAATAGGCCTAATTTTATCTGTGTTTACTTGTGATATGGATTTACTGTCTCCTACTTCTCTTATGGTCTCCCAATGTTGTCTCATATGTTAGGTCTTCAGGTTTGGAATCATTCCTTGGTGTGAACCTATTAATGATTTGTATGTTTTTAATGATGCATTTATTTTTAATTGTAACGAGTTAGAAGCAATAATGTAGCAGTTCAGAAATTAATAAAATATATTCACATATACAGTATATTACAATACAAGTCATTTATTAGAATGGCCAAATATAAAAAAAAAGGTATTTTACGTAAAGTATCTAGGTCATTGTCATAACAACTGACTCCTTCATTGCAGCTTTTGATATTAAATGCTAGATCATATAGTTTAAATAAACCAGAGACAAAACTTAACCTAATCTAAATGTCAACACCTATGGTAGGTCTAACCATGCTGCATATTTAAACAAGTTTTATTTGGATATACACTGAGATATGTATTAAATTTGGTCAGTATGTGTCAAAATCAGATAAATCTAGTAAACACTGGACCATGTACTGAACTTTTTGATATCTCATATATATCTCATATAGGTAAACTTGATCACTTGCTGTTGATGTTACTAAGCTCTCAATCACGATACTTATAGGATAAACATTTATAAAACTAAGGCTTATTTGTGTATTAATTATGAAGTCTACAGCTCAGAAATGATGGCTTCAATTTCCTCTTTTGAAAACATGTGGAATTCACCCTTGTCCGTCACTGATGCAACCTGGGAAATAACCATGAGTATAAGTATAAATTGACTACATCCAACATCAATAAAATAACAATGAGCAGAAAATAAATAAGAATATAAAAAAAATATCAATTAGGAAAATAACTATTGTACAGCATTAGCATGTAGAATGATTTAGGAGAATCATAGATAGAAATGTTAAATGAATTACCTCCACATTTGTTGCACCTAGTTTCTCCTCCATTACTTGCTTTAGAATTACTAGTGACTCCTTCGTTGCTTCTTTCAGCGTCATTGACTAAAAATGATAAATAAAAAACACTAAGCAGTAGCTATCAACATACCACATTAATATATTTTAGTTGGTTTGTTTAAAATCGGTGTGCAAAAATCTATATTTGAGTATTAGAAATAATATTAGATCAAATTATACCATCAATCATAAGTTTGTTTACCTTGTGGTATACTTCTTGTAGCTGTGATTGTGCTCCTTCTGACCCAGATCCAATTGCCTTGGCATCAAACTTTATAAATGTACCAGAGGGATCCATATGGAACCTATCATGAATATTAAGTATGTCAATCAATCAAATTTCAAGTTGCCTAATTATTTGATTTAGAGGGTTTTTCTTATAGTAAAGTGATGCACTAGATAATCTCATCTATCAACAACTGAAATTACTAGATGTAAAATAGGCCAAAATTTGATTTTAGATGCCTTGATTATTTAAATCTATTCTTACAGTTGCGGACCGTCCTTATCAACACCAGCAAAGAGTAGAGCAACACCAAATGGACGACTCTAAAACAATATAATAGAAATCAATTATTACATGATAAAGATAGATCTGTAAAAATGTGAATGATGAACAAAATATTTAACCATGTTAGTCTGCTTCAATACAATATAAATGACAGAACTCAGCACTAACTATATACATTTATTTTTCCTAGCAGACTCCTGATGAAATCCACTGTATTGACAAAAGCCAGAGATAATAAATGTGTATACTATAGTTAGTCATTAATGTGTTGAGTTCTATAGCCAGTTATATAATACAGTAGGTTCAATTTACAATCAACAATACATATACTGTACCTTTTTAAACAACCAATACATTCTAGGGCACTTGATCCACATTGTGAAACAACATATTAGTGATTGCTACATTGAGTTAATAAAAAAAAATGAGTGGTACACACCATGACTTTGACATCAGATTTATCATCACCAAACTGAAGTGCTAAGTTGGATACTGATTGTGTAACACTTTCTACAGACATCTGCTCATTGTATGTAAACCAATGGTTCTGAAAAAGTAAAATAATTATTCAAACGGTAATAATTCTTATTTTGATTTACCATACATCATGTTAATCTACATGCCCATCCTATAAATACTCGCATATACATGTATATGTTAATCTGCAGATTTATCTTGCATGCAAACTGTGTGGACTTATTTTTTTATCATGGTATTGGGCACTCACCTGAGCATCAACCCTGGCTCTATCAATTAGCGTTCTTGCATCAGCAATTAGTCCGCTCATGGCACAAACAATATGGCTGTCTATCTCCACTATCTTCTCTATACTGCATGGCTCGATAAGAGGTGAGGTAATCCGCTTCTCAACAGCTAGGACCACACCATCTGCTGTCTTGATACCAATTGCTGTTGAGCCAAGCTTCATGGCAAACAAAAGGATGTATTTTGACATTCTTATATAAAAACAATTTAAGCAAATCTCAACCTTTTCTACAAAGTTGTTTATTCATGTTTGTAATTCAAAACGCCCATTAATTTCAATGGTTTTGGACAGTTTTTGAAATGTGTTAAAATCTACAAAATAACAGCAAATATGTTAGTGCATTCCATTAAAAATTGACTGTCAAGATTTGTATTGATAACTTTACCTTGATTGCTTCTATTGCATATTCAACTTGAAAAATTCTGCCTTCAGGTGAGAATGTATTGACACCTCTAAATAAGAACAGTAAAACCATTATTGCAATAATCATTGTAAAATGTATTCAAACTTGCACTTTGATGCACAATTTACCATCATGTTCCTGAGCATTTTAATATAAAATAAAGTACCTGTCATATTCTGATCTTGTTTGGAACATCTTGGAGCAATCTGTGAAAATTATTAAATTATTATAAGACATAAGTTTCATCCTATTTTATACCTCCTTCGTTTGATACAAGACAGTATAAAGCAACCGAAAAAGTGATACAAGCCATTGTTACTGAATCAATAATATTAATTTTTTTTTTAGAGTTTGTTTCTGTTGTGTGCAGTTTATTCCTTTTGCTCATTTGAATTGCTGATGTTGTTTCAAAATCGTTTCAAATTGTGCGCACAGTATGCAAACTACGCAAGGTGTCTTTCAGAAATTATCGTAAAATGTGACATTTAAATTTATTTACTGACATTTATATTAACTATGTTTTTTAGGAGATTTAAGCGATCAGAAAATACCCCCGAACAGTTTGCAAATTGTTTGCGCAATTTAAAACTGCGCAAGGAAGAGCTTGCACAATTTGTAAATTGTGCAAACAACTCAAATTTGCGGAACATTACTAAACTTAGGCCTACTAATAACTATCTTTTTTTCTTCTTTAAAAAGATATAAATAGGCATAGGCCTAGTCTAGGCCAGGACCTAGGCCCTAGGGTCATAATAAATATAATACTATACAGTAGGCCTAGCCCTAGTACTCTGTAATATTTTCATTTGACCAGATTTGATAGAAGATTTCATCCCTTGCAGTTGGGATCCGTCATTAGGCCAACCTAGGCTAGGCATCATGACACTTGCCCTAGGCCTAGGAGGCCATTATTGGCTACTTTACTCAGGCTAGACTTGTCTGTAAAGGTCCGAGCGAGGGGCCTAGGCTAAAGTTAATCGTTCGTAAATAATGGGATAAATTATGCCTACTGTTTTTTCGCATACACACAGACTAGCCTAGCCTAGTATCGTTTGTATATTATCTAGAGCAACTTACAGGGATAATCTATATTCACTAGGCTAGGCCTACCTTTTGTTGATGAGTCGCAAACAATACCACTTTAGTCTTTGCCAGTCTTTGCAAAGTCACTCTGCTCTCCTCTCCTCCACACACAACACGCTCATCCGCCACTTTCTTTCAACTTGTCCACAAGGGCGCCACCTATCGGCCATCATCATATCTCCGCTCTGCCGTCGCCCCGCCCGCTCCAGATACGAGAGTGACGTATAGGCCTATTTTTATAAGGGACCCACCCACTTTTGTCTTATTTAAAAGGAAGATGGAAAACCGTTCACAAGAACAGGTTTGTGTGATGGTACATACATTGTCACCTAGGCCTAGCTCCTAGGCCTAGACCTAGGCCTAGTAGTAGTAGGCTAGGCCAGGTCTAGGCCTAGCTAGGCAAGGCCTAGGGCCTGGCCTAGCTAGGCTAGGCCTAGGGCCTGGCCTAGCTAGGCTAGGCCTAGGTCCATAGCTAGAACTAGCCTAGGCCTAGCTAGAGAGGCCTCTCTGCTACCAAGCTTAGGCCTCCTACCAGCCTAATCTATTGTAGGTTCCCTATAGGTCAGCTACCTCAGGCCTGGCCTCTCTCCTGTAGCCTAGGCTAGAGGGTGTTTGATAATTTCGGCCGCCGCGCCAAATGTATGGAACGCCAAAGGGGCCACCAAATACACAACAGCCGCCAATGAGAACGTAGTCATACAACAGCTGGATACGCCATTAAAACAAGAATATTAAATCTATATTTCTTTAAAGATACAGTAGGCATAGTATAAAGCGTGAATAATTACGGTATCATTAGGCGTTATTATATTTTATTATCCACAAAAATAAATATATATACCTAATGAAAAACACGTAGGCATATTTCTATAGCATGCATTATATACAAATATGTAGACCTATGCCTACACAGATGGAAAGTTAAATAAAAAAAAAAAACGGCCAGATTATTATTTGCCTATGCTTCCGCATCCTGCAACAAACACACTACCAACGGAACTCTATTGGCGCGTCATACTTTCTATTGTTAAAAAGCTGGCGGCCGAAATGATCTGAGACCGGCTAGAGGCCGATCTGATCAGTGATTCAGAAGATGGAATTCCTACCTTCAAAGAACTTATGTGATATGTTTATTATAAAAGTATGACTGCACATGCATTATTTATTTCACATAGATATATATCGTTTCCTATAAAAAATATGAAAATATCTGACTAATTTAACTCTGTACAGTAGGTACAGGTATGTTAAAAAAAAATCATCTTGTTTGGATCCAAGTGATAGTATGCAAGTTAATTCTCCTGCATTTAAATATCAAAATAAAGTTTATTTGATTAAATTTGAATGAGTTGTTGATTTTATATAATTTTTTAGAAATATATTTTTAAGCGGAAACTTGACATAGATAGGGATTGTATGTAATGGTTGTGACCTTTTTAACAGCACTGTGCATTGACGAAACTCAAGCGATGCCATAATTTAGTGTATAGTATTTCCTGGCTCTTAAAAACCACTTGGCAGTCTGTCAAATTTCTTCATATTTGGCCAAAATGTTAATTACTTATCTATGTAAATGTACTTTTTAATCATTAGAAAAGTATATTTACCGTTCTACTAAAAAAGTGCATTTTATTCGAGTATAAACTTCAGACGTCAGCTACATTTTAAATACACAATGGATGAACGCAAAACAAATTTGTGACCTTTCTTTAACCTTTTATCTGCATATTAAAGCATGACATCACCAATATCCAATCAGAAACACGTTTTTAAAGATTTTTTAAAAAACCCAACACCTTAGCGATGAAATGGTCATCAACTTAGTTATTAGAATTTAACTCTCAGAAATGTAAAGTTTTTGCCATTAGTAAGGAGAAATGTAGCTTTTCAATAGTACAATTATTCTCTTGATCCTATTAATAGTGACCAGTATTTAGAGAATGTCCTTTTTGCAAAAGATTTAGGAGTGACCTTACAGTAGATTCTAAATTGTCATTTGAAATTAATATCCTTGAGAAAGTTAATAAAGCAAATAGATTAATGGAACTCATAATAATAATAATAAAATAAGATTTATTAAGCGCACATCTCCACTAAAGTGCTCAAGGCACTTGTGAAAACCATGAAAAAGCTTATCCTTTTAAACTAAAGGCTACCAGAAAAAAACGACCATAACCCACATATATACTCATAAGACATGTATTTACCTACATGGAGTATATTCTATATAAAGCTTTTGTTAGACCCCATCTTAAGTATAGTATCTCAGTCTGATGCCCGCATTTAAAGAAACACATTGACCGGATCGAGAATGTAGACTACAGTAGACTTGTTTCTAGGTTGAAGGGTTTAAGTTACTCCTGATAGGCTCCATACATTAAATTTACCTACTCTTAAGTACAGAAAATATAGAGGCAATATGATCGAGACATTTGAAGAAATTCTAAATAATTTTTATGATAGTTCTGAGACTGTCACTAGTTTTTTACAATTAAATGTATCAGACAGAACTCATGGACACTCTCTTAAGCTGCTAAAGCAACTTTCCTGTGTAGACTTCAGGTTTTCCTTTGGCAATCGCATTGTAGACAATTGGAATGAACTCCCAAATGAAGTTGTAACAGCTCCCTCTCTCTATGCGTTTGAGAATAGACTAGGATCAACCAGTTAAGTTTGACCATAAAACAAGAATCGAGAATTCCATGATCAACAAATTTGGATCTGGACATAGAGGACATTAGTCCTGCGTCCAGTATATCACCTAAGTAATAACAAGGCAGTGCAAGCCCACTTAACAGGGAGATGTAACATTAGTGCGACATCAAGGTTTGTAATGTACAGTACCTACTCTTTGTAATGATATTCTTGATGTAATTTAATAAACTCAGTGCCCCGAGTGTTTAAATACCCTAGGCTATGTAGATTCTGAGCCGCTCTAGGCCATGATACAGGTGATGAGTCATTGTGTAGCCTACCAGAACATGTGAAGAGAGAGGAGGCATCACGTCTGGGCTTACTGTAGCTAGGCTGCACATGCGGTGCATGCATGGGGACAAATTGAAGATCGCCCAACATGTGTAAATCAGGAAAAAGGTGTATTCTTAAAAAATTAAATTTAGTATATATCTGTAAATATATAGCTAATTTTTGTCAACTAAACAGTGGATTACTCGCATAAATGTGTTTTTCCAATGAATTAATGTGAAACTATATTTGAAGTCAATTAAAGGATATAATTTTTTGTGTGTACCTAGCTACAGTGTGTATTTTATGACAAATATGAAGAAGCTCAATGTCTGTATTAATTATATGCATCTGTAATTTAATCTGTGCTCACTATTTTTTGTTGCAATAGTGTGGTATACTTTTTTCCTGCACAGTTTTTGAATGACTACCACAAATTAATTTGCAAATTGTCCAAGGAAATCTTTCATTTCATTTCATTTATTTCTCTCTCAAACCCGAGTCGAGTGGCCGAGCGGTAAGGCAGGGGCACCGCTAGCTGCAGCCTTAACATCGGCGCTGGTTCCAGCCGCTCCTCGCCCATGGTTCGGTTGGTAGAACAAAGTCTTCTCGGATAAGGACTTAAAATGGAGGTCCAGTGTATACATCTGGCTCGTGTGCACTTTAAAGAACCCATTGCATCTTTCGGAAGAGTAGGGGGTTACCCCGATGTTATGGTTAATTTCAGCCCCTGTTGTTGTGGAATGATGTGAACGTGTATCTACCAAGAAGCGCCTCTTTATGGCTGCTAGGTAGTCACGGACCACACCCATAAGCAATTCAGCACAATGACGCTGCAAGTTATGGGTTATTCTCCTACCTTTACCTTTTACCTTTACCATGCAAATACAAAAACATACAAATACAATAAACAATGACGGGCAAAGAGCAAAAAAACAGAGGAGACAGGAAACAAAAAAGCGAACTTAATCCACTGTCAAGTGGTTCCCAGACATAACACATAAAAACAAGATATAAGGTTGGTATTTAAAATATAAAAATATTATATAAATATGAATTAGTAAAACACCAAGAATAAATAATAATAAATAAATAAAAAATTATATATATATATATATATATATATATATCTACTGAGTATCTGAGATACTCAGTAAGAAAGAAGAAAATTAGATCATGTGAATCAATTGTGAAAATGATCTTTAAGAGATCGTGAATAATAATAATAAAAATAATAATCTAAAATTATTAAATATCATACAGAACATTGGCATTCAGCTGCATTTCAATTATATATTTTTTATGAAATATTTCTGAATATACTGATAATTGTAATCGTATAATATTATAATTACTTTCTATGAAAATGAAAAAAAACGTGAATAAAACAGGTATGACTATGAATTGATGAGATAGGATTATTAAATTTTGGACTTAAAATAAAGGTGGGCTACCAACACAAAGGCAAAAATAATAATGAAAATTTATAAAGCGCCTGTGTCTTTTTAAGGGAAAATACTCATTGTGCCCCTCTACAAAAAGTCAAAGTATGACAGAAAAAGGAAATTTATGAAACCAGATAACAGTTCACAATCATCACCCTCTCTATGTAGCCATATTTGCACAGATACCCCACACAAGGACAGATTGTCTGTCATGTGGGTAAGCCAGATACTGTGTGTGGATAGGCGGTGGGATGAGAGGGTGGCTGGGGCAACGGGTATTATTTTTAAAGTATTTTTCATATTAATGTTCAAACCTCATTGCTTTTAAATCTAGTTTTGAAAACATATTTGATAGTAGTACAAATATAACATCTATTTATCACATTTTTTATCTAATTACATATTTTTTATAATTTATTAAATTATTTATTATTATTTCTTCTTTATATATTTTTATATTTTTTTCCCAAGGATATTCTTAAATGTTTGTGTGTGTTTGACTCTGCTTGTTCAGTTTTTTTGCATATTTGTTTTTGTCATTTTGTATTTATCTAATTAATTTCAGGTATGTTTTATATTTTTAATAGAGGGCCCCTGAATCAGCTGGCCTTCTTGATCTAGTTGGAAATGTCACCCTCTCTATAAACTTTAAATATAGAATAAAGAATATTCCTTAATATATTGTAGGCCCGGTTTTGATGGCATGATGATGACTACAGGCCTAGGCCCTACTTCTTCTTTTGACATTTTTGGTTTAGTCAAGCCATTAATAGCCTTGCTATCACTCTCTTGCAATTCAGCCTGTCGTAGTCATTATAAAGTATTTATTGTTTTATAAAGTATTTATTGTTTTGTTGATTGGTTTGAGGTCTTTGTTTATTTGTTTATCCATGAGTGATTAGGGCCGCTTCTTTTTCCTTTCGCTTTCCTCATGTGCTGTTATGTTAATGCCAGCTATCTTTGACAGTGTGTCTATTCTGGTAGTCGTAGCGTGTGTCCTGGCCAGTTCTTCTTTTGAAAGAGTTTCTCAACACATCTAAACAGTGCATTGTTAACTATTAATAAAAGTCACTAAAACATTTAAACTGCGCTCATAAATTATACCAATGTACTAAAGCTAAAACATTGACTAATAACAAAATTGCTATCAATTGGATTTTACATCCATTGCACCAGCGTTATTCCAACATTTGGAAGCTTCCTAACAAATCTATCAACAAAGTCATCAAGGTCGATGGAAAGTGCTTGTCTTCTGTGTACACTGTTAGGCTCTTTAGTCTCATATTGGCCATGGTGGTTCTTAGGTGATTTTTGATAAATTTTAGTTTGCGTCAACTTCACTAAAGCGATTGATATAATTTGGGTGGGGGAAAAGGGGTAAGATTATTATTCGGAGGGGTGGGGAATTTTGGCGTTTGCAAGATTTCCTTGCACAGTGTTCAAACTTATTGATTCTTGTTGTTGCTAGTTAATAAGTTCTTAGTATTCTTAATTTACAGCCATGGAGGTTGAGAGTTCTAATGGAGCCACGTGGATTTATCAAGATCCTGGAATTTGTAAGTACTGTATTTTGTTTGTTTTATCATTAAGTCCACTGAAAAAAAACTTAAATATTATGAAGTAAAGGCTTAGGTACAACACACACAACAACAAACCACAGTATGTTTATGAGAAAGCTATCACATTTTTGGAATACCAGATTTAGGTTTTCAAACATAATGTTTTACTTATTTATTTGTTAGCCCATCAGTAGCCCATGTAAAACTCCGCAAGAAAAGAACCAATATTCGTAAACAAAATAAACCATGGTTGACTAATGGGATTATTCATTCTATTAATACTAGAAATAGGTTATATAAAAAGTATATGAAATCTGGTAAAGAGATCGATAAAAAAAGGTACACTAATTTCAGAAATAAACTAACTAACATAATCCGCTTATCTTCTAGAAATTATTTCAAAAAACAATTCGATATTCACAGAAATAATATTAAGGCCACTTGGCAAACAATTAATTCCGTGCTTGGCAGAAATACCAAATCTAAGTTTCCACATTACTACATTAAAAATAATATGAAAATCACAGACCAGTCTAAAATTACTAATGAGTTTAATAAATACTTTTCAGAAATCGGCCATAAACTTTCTCAACCAATTAATATGTCATACATTAATTACTCAGCATTTCTTAACTCACCTAATATTCATTCCTTATTTCTTACACCAGTGTCGGAGAAAGACATTATTGACATTACTGACTTATTCAAATCTAACAAAAGTCCAGGCGCCGATGATATTCATTCAGATGTTATTAAAAAAGTTTCTCCATTTATATGTAAACCATTGTGTCACATTTTTAACATTTCATTTCAGTCTGGTAAGTTTCCAAGTTCTCTAAAAATTGCAAAAATTGTACCTATTTTAAAAAATAATGATCCCCACCAATTCACCAATTATAGACCCATAAGATGTGTATAAGAGACAGAAACAAATGGTGATGAAAATACCAAGCGTTACAAGATTATCAACAATGTTTTAGTTGCCCCTGATTGTTCATGCACGTGTTCGACTGGGATGTGTGAAATATGCTTATATCGACACACTTGTCCCGGATGTTCATACTGCTTAAACCCGAATGATGGCGATAACGGATGGTAGCAACCGATACAATTTAACTATGTTTAATTATTAAAGTCGAATTCAAAACGAAAGAGGAAACACGCAGAAGAAGAAAAATAAAAGATGATGACGTAAAATTCCAACAACCAGCACATTTGGATAAATCAGTATGAAGAAGTGTATGTTGATTGATAAGGGGAAAAATATGCCGGTAATTAGAGACTATGTAAGCTCTAGTTTTCTGATGCGAAATCATTCATCAATCATTACGAAACCATCGAACTCTATATCAGTATTCTTCGTCGAAGTTGAACTGAATTACTTTATCAATAAATATGGCTTGCTCTTCATACAATACTCAAGAA